TGTGAATGCGAAAGTTTGTATGTTTGTTTGCCTTTGACTGGACGGATTGCAAAGCTATAGTAGCCCAGTGGTGTCGCATTCACTTGAAAAACTCAGCAAAGCGGGTTCAAATCCCGGATCTTACACTTCTAATAGTTTAATACGCGAATGTTTTTCAATATGATTATCACTTGTCTTGAAAAGGAAAACTTCGTGAGAACTTATCTAATTTTCGAAACGTGACCACCAACCACCGACCTAAAATTGGCCAAAATGGTAGATTATATGAATTCCCTTTATTATTTTTATATAAAAATTGTTAAGTCATAACATTGTCTTTGAAACAAACGTGATGCTTAATACCATTATGTAGCTTTATCCAAGTTAATGAACTGACAGGTTTATTACAGTTCAGTTGGTAAGCCTGGAGGCGATAAACACGAATGGTTTCAAATTCAATACCCAGTGTCTGACGTCTTGTTGACGTATCGACTTGTGTATGTTCATATTCATTTATAATATAGTGTACTAGCGATTAACCCTCGCTCCGATCGGGTTCATCCCTAGTAAATTTTTGAATTATAGTATAGATTTCTCAGAGATGAGATGCAGTAAAAAGTATTTTATATATCAACCCGGATAACTAGCTATCTTCGTACCAAATTTCATCAAAATCCCTCCAGTGGTTTTTTCGTGATGCGGTCACACATAGACTAACTAACGGACAGACAAAAATTCTTAAAACTATATATTCGGGTTCTGTATCAATAATAATATCTATTTCAATAAGATTTTTCAAAAAATATTTAATGTACAGATTCGATTCAGTTAAAATTTTATTATATGTATAATTCGGTATATATATTATGAACTTTATACAATACGTTTTCGTTTCTATATATTCAGAAATAACTTTATTCAAATAGCATTTGTCCGCAACTCTGCCGGCTTACGTTAGTAATGGGTCTTCATAAAAAAATCCTATCCCTTTTTACCCCTTTATTGAATTTCCATAATCCTTTCTTAGCGGATACCATATACTTATGACATATTCACCTGCAAATTACCAAGTTTATTTTAGTGTATACTTTTAGATAGTAGTTTTATATCTAATAATACAGACACAGACGACTGAGATTTGAGAGTAAAGGCCTCCGCATCAAACGTAAAGACCCAAAAAAATAAAAAAATAAATGGAATTCAAAAGTTACAGGATATACATTTTTCTAGTGGATTTTGAATTTGTAATCTCATTATAATTATTGATTGATATAACAAATTCAATTACTAATCGAATTAAATGAAAAGAATTATAATTAATAAAATATCTGTGTATAGTATGTATGTTTTTGAAGTTAAACATATACACTATACAAATATGTTAGTTTATTTCTTTAAAGCTTCAAAATATATCCGACAACACATATAATACAAAATTAACATATAACCTTTATAAAGTTTAACTATTCTATTCAATAACTGGCCTGAGCAATAATGCCTTCGCAAATCTCAACCTAACTTCCCGACACGTGTCAACAGTCACGATGAACTCGGGCGTTTTCTAAAGATACGTCAATTCGACCCCTTTTCGCTATAATCGTGTATTCATGCGCGCATGCTTTGAGTCTCAACTAGCAACTATATATGCACGTAGATTATCTTTCCACGTTTTCATAACAGTGTTACTATGGGTTGCAGTTATTTTGTTTACAACAAAAAAATTTAATGCTTATAATTATTTTTATTTTTTAAATTGCCAAAATCATATTATTTACCTACTAGCGACTCACCTTATAGTATCTAGATTGATTTCCTAATACATACTTTTAATCCCCATTTTCACCCTTTTAAAGGATGATTTCCGGAATAAAAAATATCCTATAACCTTTTTAGGGTCTCAAACTACCTTCTTACCAAATTTCATCTAATTCGGTCTTGTAGTTTCGGAGCTTATTTAGTATAAATAAACAAACAAACAAAAAATATTACATTTTTATAATATTAGTATGTACAGTTTATAAGTTGATGTTTGATAATTAGGCTTAATAAATTACACTACAATTAATATTTTAAAAGCGATTATCAGATTAAGTACTAAACATTATTTCAAACAATGCAAAAAGACAGTGAAAGGAGATTTTTAAGGTTAAGTTGACATAAAAGGATTGTAAATAAAACTTTAAACATAACAAAGCCATAGAAAACTACTAGTCAAATGTAAATGTGTGTCGTACCATTTACGACTTTACCAATTTGGTGTTTCCATATATAGAAATGGATTATTATTGTTTCTTTGTACGTAGAACAAATTCGAGGCGTACATCATTTTTAAGTACGCCATTTAATGCTTTATTACACTAAACTACAGTAGAAAATAGCACGTATATTTTTCTCTTACAGCCATAAGTGTTTATGTGTATATGTTACTAACTCGATAATGTATGAACAATAATTTATTACAAGCGTTCGGTGTCTGCGGTTGGGCCTTTATCGTATCCTTTTAGATACAAATTAATATGTTGATAGCTATTGAAAAAAAAGGTTAGAAAAAATTACTTACTATTCAATACATTGCGATATTCTTACCAAATTCGTAGAATGAGGTGTTTTAGCATGAATTATTTATAATTTGTTCCGTGTTTTGCTCGTTCACTCTTGGTTTCAAGCTAAATAGGTGCAAAAAGTTAACGTTTAGATTCAAATTAAATTTTAGACTCATTGGCCTTCATTTTATTTCAAAATGCTTATTAGGAATGGGGATTAGAAAGAATATAACAAAGTTCGAATTATTATATGTAGTATATTAAAAAAAAAGATCCAAAGTATTTCGTCTGATTTAAGAAATATACTCACAAGACGTTGAAGCGTTGTGATCGAAATCGCATTAATATTATAAACAGTATCTTACGTTTGGATAATAGGTACAAATTCAATCAGCATCCGTTATTGAAAATGAACCTCGCCAGAATTTCAATGTACCCCTAAACGGCTCAAGATTTATTGCTAAAACCAGTAAAAAGTGCCTCACAACGAGAGTAGGTACGTGATGTTACATACAATACTACGAACCTTGGCCTATATGTCTCGCTCTGTGATTTTAAAGGTGAACACTTAAAATTTGATATACGATTTCAAATAACATTATATATAGCACTAAAGTTGTCTTGATTCATATGACTTTATATATTGGAAGACTAGCGACTACTAGAAAAGCAACACAAATCTATCCCACGGGAACCGTACATTTTCCGGGATAAAAAGTAGCCTGTTTCTGATGTATGAGCCCTATTATTGTAAGGTTTCATTAAAATTCAGTAGTTTTTGCGTAAAAGAGTAACAAACATCCATACATCCACACAACCTCACAAACTTTCGCATTTTGATATTAAAAGGACACAGCTTACAAATGGCAATCGAAAAAATAGTTACGTATGATTAATTTAACAATTCTTACATTGTGGCGAATATCGAATCTCAATATATTTCACAAACATTTTCTAAGGAATCAGCGAAGTCAAATAACAAAACTGTTGATGGATCGGAGTAATAAAGAAAAAAAATTCTTTTTCTGCCGACGCAGTCACTTTACTTCACTCGACACGTGTTTCGCCTCCCAACAAGACATCTCCAGAACTTGACAGTTCGAATTTACCGAAACTTTTTTCAAGTGGATGATTTTACGCCTAAAGGAATATAGACTTTGAACATTCTAAAATTAGTATTTTTTTTATGACATTCCAAAATTACATAAGCAATTAAACAGTACAATACAATCTAAAAGTTTGATAAGATTTTGCTTGGCCTTGTTCATATACTCGTAACGTGCTTAACTCGCAGAATTTTAATGAAATTAAAAACTCATATATAGATTCGATTAAATGATAACATCATTGATTATATTATATAATATATTAAAAAAAATATGCTTTAACGATGACAAAGAGTTATTCCTGTAATCTATACAAAAGCGCAAAATTTATATTGTATATTATTTGTTTTAAAATAAGATTAATTCATTTTTTAGTATAAAATTTATAAAAGTAAGTAATATTTTATAGTAAATTGTAAGAAATTTCAGAAAACTATCTCAGTAACACCAAAACTGGTTTATTTGCAAATTTGCTTTATACAACCTCGGTTAAGTTAAAAGTTGTGTACCGAGCCATAAAGTGGCAAAAATACTCGAGAGCTTATTCATGACTTATACGCAATTTATATTCGCTTCCTAGTACAGCGATCTCAGCCTTCTCTCTAACCCTTATTTAACATATATCGCCGACAGTACCCCTAAGAGACTTTGATATTTAAATTTAAAACAATTGAACGACTTCTGGTATTTTATTCCCATTTAAAGAGCTATTGTTGAGACGTTATTTTTACATCTTTCAATTTGACTAGTTTAAACTCTTGCATTTTATTTCTTGATGGAAAGTTGAAGTAAATATTTATCAAAACGGTTCATTGTAACTGAATGTTAGATTCACTTTTTCAATTTAGAAACGTATATTTGAGAAATGTATATTTAATACTGTAATAATTTCTATGGAACGAAATTCTTCTCAATAAAGCGCAAAATGTCGTCTGAAAAATTTCCTTCTTTATTCTCAAACGAACCCGATCAAATTGCTTCAGTAATAAGGGTCTGCCTTAATAAAATGATCGGTGAAGCGTAAATTTGATATAATATTTTGGAGGTTTTATTTATTTTGAGCATCGATATTATTTTAAAAATTTACAAGCTTAATAACAATTATGTTTCATTTGCATTTTTAACTCGTTTAAAAATTATTTTTATAATATGTATGTATGTAAAGTTATATATGTTTAGTGTATGAACTATCTGGTATCCATAACATGAGCCTCGTAGCTTACCATGGAACTAGATGGTGCTGTGTGTTAATGTCCCAACATATTTTATTATTGACATTATTTATTTAATGACACTATCTATTCAAGATACTGTGGGAAAGAAAAGTACTGCATGGTTTAAAATTATCATTCTTTTTATGAAGAATTTTAAAATGACCATCAATTATCGGGTCCTTTACACATTTGACATCACCGTTCCAGCTTTTGAATTCAAGGGGTCCCCAAAAAGTTTCATTCCGACTATTGTAACTCATTATCAGCAAACACAAAAGGTATCATCTGGCAAGGCCCCATTACAATGCCAACCTAATCGCCATCCCCAGAAGCTTTTGTTCAGCACTAAAGTACTTGGGATTGTCAACATCTTCATTAATATTTTCTCGTACTTCGCATTATATATACGCTAAGTATTAAGGGCCTATGGTACTTAAGCATTCATCTGCAATAGAATTTAGTTTATATTATCCTACTATATTAGTATATCTAATATATTTTAAATTTCTTAATTTCACTTTTTTGCTCTTATAGGCTGACAAATATGGATACCTTAACAAGGTATGGTAAAAGGACCCATTTATTACCTCCAGTATAATGCTTTCAATATACACTGGTTCTGAATCAGTGATTTCGAAGCCGACAAATTTTGACGCAGAAAAACACGACACCGTTGTAATTAATTTGCCTCTTTCGCCCTGGGCAATAAGATTTATGAAAATGTTTATTTCGATTCTTGATTATTTCTTTACCAATATTATATATTAGAGCCGCTGTTTAAGAAATTACAAGAGATATTTTAAGCAATGTTACCTGAAGTCCAAAATTTTTAAAGCTAAACTGTCTAAAAAGTCTGGAAACTTGAATATTATTTTATGTGAGTGTTTTCGTGTAATTTACTACCATGATATTGCTACCAATATTTCTTTAGTATTATAGGAAAACTCGTAAAGCCGTCAGCAGTTTCGTGAATTAATTAATCTTATATTCATTGATACGTTATTAATTACATGCTATTAATAGCATTAGTTCTGTAACAAAATATCTAATTCATTGGACGCCAGTTGTCAAATAGATTAGAGAATTCGTTTCCTCGAAGGAAGTTATTATAAATCATCTTTAAAAACCTTATCGTTGTGACCTCCGTTCGGCTTGCGAAACTCCCGGAATTGAATACGTGCTTAAAACACGGAAACGCTATATGTTTCCCTACTTGAGTATCGTAACTCCATTTTTTTAAATGCCGGGTGTGGCATTTTGACGGGTAAGCAAACAATTAGTCTCGCAATTATTAATAAAACATGAGAATTATTTTACTGATTTAATTGTATTGAAAACAAATGCAAGCCATAGCATGCTTTAGCACAATGACCGTAAAACTAAAGTGGTTTTCACAGTTGTTATCTGCTCAATCGTATTGCCGGTATTGATGACTTTATTATTCCATATTGAAATTGAAACTGAGTTTTTCATTTTCGAATTTATTTTGGTATTTTTTTAATTTATTTGTTATATCTCTAAGGATAGACAGCTGCCTACTTTTATCGAACCCATGACCTCCATCTTAATTGGCAATTACTATTGATATAAAATATTCATGCTCGTGATTAAAGATTTACATAATATCGTCAAACGATATCTGATTTCAAAATGCGTACAGATTAGAAGGTGAAACTGTATGAATAGATCCAGTCAAAAGATATTTGTCGTGTCCAGGAAGAGAAGTGGATGCCCTTGCAGGCATCAAACGACGAGTGTGTATTGACGTCGCTTCAAGTAGCAAGTTGCTTGGCCATATATAGCGGCTAAGAGCACGTTACTTACATAGATTCCGACATTGTCCCTTTTAGTAAAATTTAATTAAATGTCAGATTTATTTTCTTGCAAAACTTCTGTTAACTCATTTTTCTTTAAATATTATAATCCTATAATTCAACGTGATTATAAAAATTTAAGAGATAGAAACTTTGAGGCCGGTGAAATTGAATTATATCAGAAAATTTTATGTCAGTCACTCTCTGAATACATAATAAGATATTTAACAAAGTAAACCTTGTAATGAGATTTGACAAAACGAAAAAACTCTGGAGCTTGAAATATGAGCTTTAAAAATAGCTGCTTCTTCTGTACTTGTAGAAGGTTGAACTTTCGCAATTTATTACTCACTTGAAAGCTCTGTTAATTTGCATTACTTGATTGTTACGTAGAGTGATTTCACATATTTCTTTCTGTTACTTTTTATGCTCATAAAAAGTATAATAAATACTACTTAACAATAGAACTTACCTAAAAATAGAGAAAATATTTCGATAGATTATACTTTATTGATTACAAATTCTCTAATACGCATTTTGTGACAGCACGAAATGTTTGTATAAATAAATAACTTAATAATCAAATAACCCTATTTCAATATTAGAATTCTCGATATTAGGCAGCAATAATAATACTAGAGCACCGGTAACCTGAATACGGTACTGCAAAAAACCTACCTCTGCTCAGTTCACCTTGAGAGCCGGAGTGGGCGTACCAAACTTGATTTAGTCGCCATCTGACAAACCCTTTTTTGTCCTGAATATAAATAAGACGAGCAAAAAATATAAAGTCGAGAGATTTTTTCCCTCACTGTTACCAGTGGGACTAAAGCCGAGTTTAGCGAAAGTAAGATTTGAATAATAAAACACATAGTCGGTTATAGTTGGGTGTTATTATGTTTTTATATCGTAAAAGATTGTTTGTCTGAGCTTCCTTATGTCTTGTAATGTGTTCTAATATACATACATCTGTCTGAATACTGAGGAAAAGTGCGATATCATGATATATTGGATCTCCGGCGTCCTCTAACATCCTTGTATGTCAATGTTTCAGAGCATTCCGCTTATGCGGAAGTAATTGATGTGTGTAATTAAAAAACGATCACCAAAATGCACTGCATAATTAATAGTGGTTTAAAATTTTCATTCCCAAAACAAATAGCAATCGAGTTATAGCTCATTTACATGTACGGCGGCATTGTAAAATTTTCCTCCACCAACCAATAGAATTGATTACATTTATACTTGTTTGTAATAATAGTAATAATTCCTATGATAACAATATCATTAATAGTAAGGACGCGGACTTAATGGTGCAACGTCATGCATACTAATTCAGCGTACCAAGCTCTTTGCCAGAGCTCAGCATATCGGACATGTTTAAAATAATAATAGTCCTCTCTTGCATTTAACTGATAACACTGATTTCCTGTTTATATCATTAATTTTAAATTATGTATTTTATATATATTTATTTAATAGAATATTTTATTAATATATTTTAGTAATTTAAGTCATTTTATTGTTCACAGACGAAAAAGAACAACCCAAACCACATCAAGAGGCCGATGAACGCATTCATGGTTTGGTCGCAGATTGAACGTAGAAAAATTTGCGAGCAAACACCAGATATGCACAATGCGGAGATATCCAAAAATTTAGGCCGCGTATGGAAAACTTTGAACGATGAAGAGCGACAACCGTTCATTGATGAAGCGGAAAGACTCAGGCAGCTACATATGCGCGAGTATCCCGACTACAAATATCGGCCCCGCAAGAAGACAGCTAAACCAGCGCAGAGAAGCGGTGCAATAACAAAACAAAAGCGCAAGCAACGAGCAGACAGCAATAACAACAGAGGTGTGTCTAGACGGCGAACGCGGCCAGCTCCGACTGTTCCGAGCGTACCCGTGGAGACACCTGCTCCTCCTCCACTGCCAGCATCCCCAGCGGGGGCGCCTGACTCTCCCGAGTCTGCCTGCTTCTTCGATGATAGCACGCGACGTGAGCAGACTGACCTAACAGATCTCTACTCCATAACCGATCTGCTGCCCTTGCCCGCGGACTGCGAGGTCGATCTAGACGCATTGACCGACATGGAGTCCTTCGAGACGGCGTCCTCCTCTTCCGGATCGCATTTTGAATTCTCATGCACACCGGACGTGTCCGACATGCTAAGTGAAATCGGCGTGGCGGGTGATTGGGACGATCACACGTTTTCGTCGTACCTCACGTCGTCTTAAAGCGGTGCTCGGGTCGCCACGGCCGCTGGCCGGTACCACTGATCTCATTTTCGAGCCGCCACATGGGGGCCGACGACGCGGCGACCGCTCGCCGCCCCGCCTAGAGAGTGCCTACATCCAATTGACGTGTCGACATTTGGATTCAATGTACAAAGTTATTTAATAAGATTCAGGTGTGGAATTTGTTTTCCAAGTTAATTGGCCATATGGTCACGTTCACTTTGATTTTTTCGATTTTTTCAATGCGAACTATTTGGAAACGGCTCCCCGGCGTCGTCGGGCTTAAAACATAGGCTGTGAGTTGGTTCTCGTTTCATGGTATTGCTTTTTTAAAGTTTTTTTTTCGAATCGAGGTGATTTCCAAACGGCACGTCTCAGACGCATCTCAGTAAATAATCCGTCTTTACTCTCCGTCGCCTGATTAGCAAGCCACGGTCCAGTCGCCGCATGCTCGCACCGCGTTGTCGCGTTCTTTTCTGTGTATGTATATTAATCGACATGGCTTCTATTGTAAGTTCTCAAATCCTACGTCACTATTAATTTTACTTTTACAATTTTACTATAAGAGCGATCATTTATTTACTTTTAATTAAAATGTTAGGTGAATATCGTTCTATTAATAGCAAAATAAATAACTCTAGGTTAAAGCCAATGTCATACTTTACTGTCCGTAAGTTCATTTTATATTTTCATGCACACATAGTTCTAGTAACTACGATTATTTTACTATTGGAAGCTAATCGGTATGTCATTTGAGAAATGTCGGAATACGGAATTTTTGAATAAGGAATTTTTAGGAAAGAGTTGTGCCCTTGTCATGCTTGGTCATGCTTTATTGGAGCAAGCCTCGTTACAACCATATTTTAAACTTTTAATTGGTTGAACACGGGACTATTTCTAAACAATTTCAATAAAGCCATGGCAAGGGATTTGAATAGATACTTCTGAGTGGATAAGTCTTGCTATAGTGTATGTTAGGTTGTTGTAGATAAGATAATTTCAGTTCAATGGTAACGTAAGAAGTATTTTATATTGCGTAGAAATGACGGCATCTCAGGATCGATGCACACGGACACTAACCTTCTTCTTTCCTTCATTTTACATCTTCACGCTTCAACATATAAAACGTCTATAAAAAGATACATATCAGTAAAGAGAATGTATTAGTTCGCGGGACGGTGATAAATAAATTTGTATGAACAAAACACTAGTTCGGTTTCCAACAAATGTTTTGCTATTTTAAACTCTGTGATTTACTTTATGTATTTTCTAAATTATAAGAATCTAGTGGAGACTGATATCGCATAGATTAGTTTTAGCAGCGCTAGCTTCTCTAACTTTTTTAATTTTTAGAACTGGGCATAATTTTAGTGAAGGAAAACAATACGTACATATTTTTGATAATTTGCTTCTCTGTGGAGATCGGGTAATGGTCTCTCCTACATCTTCAAAGATCGTTTGTGAAGCTAGGTAACATTTTTTACGAATTTATAGTTGCGAAGCCGATATACCGTCCGATGTCCACAGTAAAGCGCGAACAAACACAATTTGTATAAAAATTTCGCATATACTGTCAATTCATTGAAAATGGTGTCAGTTAATTAGCGGGGTAATGTTTCCGAAACGAATATTACCTCATTCATTTTAAGGTATAGCTATAAATCTTCTAAAATATAATGTTTCAGATAACGAAAATAATATTTGTAGATATTCTGTGTCCCTAAGATATATTTCGTAATAAGGGATCTATTGTGCTGATAAAAAAGAAAATGCTTTACTTATATTCTTATAAATATATTATGTAAAAATTAACTTCGTGTAATACTTAGGTGTGTGTCTATGAAATCCAATTATTTTTAAAGAAATGCATAAATATATGTTATCTATACATAATCGTAATGTGAATCTGTAAGTAACAATCTTGTGTGTTGTAGGGCGATATGTATTATATATTATATTGATAACTGATAATAAATGAAAGGAGAAATAAATTTGTGCCTAAAGATTTACTTGAAAATTTCATAATATGTATATTTTAGTGTTGCTCAATATATCTTTATAAGCGCGTAGTGGTTAGATGCTGTTAAACATAAAACTCTATTTTCAGATGCCAGTCATGCATTTTGTTTTGATTTTCCTTCTACAAAAGCTTTGCTTTCATTGCAAAGTAAAAGATACCACTCTTGCGTATTCAGTAATATCATCTATTCCCCAAAAAATAGTCTAAATATCGACTTTGATAAATTAGCCTGAACAGTTTTCTAAGTTTTACTACCAAAACTAAAATCAATTTAGGTGACAAGTTCACATACCACATATAATCTGTTCATTACGGTTCTATTCCAAACAAAACGATTCAGTTTCAAACGAAAATATTAAAAGCTATGGTAGCCAAAATTTTCCTAGATTTGAAAGTTAAAATTCATCTTACGGAGAATTTCAACACCCAAATCTAGATTTTCAATAGTTAGTACTGAAGCAAACAAAAATCCCACAGATGATATTATAAGTTCACTAGCATTAGACCTGATAGTTTTGGTAATAGCGTCAATTTTCAGTGTCACTATTACCATTCCTTCGATATTTGTGAATATAGCAATAATATCATTATAATCATCTCATAACCTAATACTGACTCTTTTTGTGCAAGATTATTCGTTCGTGCTTCAACAGCTTCATGTTATTACATTCTTTGCGCTTTTGCAAAAAAAATCAAAGCAATATACTGATAGTCAACGCTCAAATTAGACTTAAATAGCCATTTGATAGAAAGGATACATATTTTTTACGTTTTGGTCAATATCTATTTGATGAAGTTTTACTTCACTTTCAATTTCAATAATAAAATAGCCTCGTAGAATATTTAAATAGCATTACCCCGAGAGAATTGCAGAAGGACATCGAATTTATTGTTGTATTTAGCGCTTCTTGTTGTGGTTTTTCAATAATTGGAATTATCAGGGTTTCGATGTTTTGTTTGAAATTAAGATTGTAAAAAAAAACGTTTTGTAAATTATCCTTTACTCCCTTGTAGTCGTTTCAAAAATGTTTTCCGATAGTTTGCTTAAATCGATAGGCTTCTCCCTTCGTAGCCTGTTAATATCTTTCAAGGTATTTTAAAAATGTAAATAAATAAGAAACTGTTTATAATAATGTAAAAGTCAAAATAAAGCGATACTGTGACAAAAAATTAGAGGGTATATATAATACGCGTCTCAAAGAAAATAAATATCATCAGAAGACGTAGATAGTTGTTGTAGGTTATGTATGTAATTATATTAAAATTGTTGTGTACTTCATTGTATCGAAATTTTTTATGTACCTGTGCCTGTTCGATTTTATTCTTTTTTATATGAAAAAGGGGAAAAATCGAATAGGCATAGAACTCTTCTGTTATATCTTTAATTCTGTACCAAGTGTATAAATTGAGTAATGGGCCGTCATTTTAAATATCGATTTCGAAGTAATTGTTAGTTTTAGAATAACTTTTCAGAGATGTGATCTCATTTCAAACCAAAAATAATGCAATAAGGTAGCACGGTACAGAATTAAAGGTTGACCAAACTTCGCCTGAGTCTATGCTTACAAATCGCTTGTCACACAAGTAGATTGATGTTCGTACTAAATCATTATACGTAGGTTAAAAATTATGTATGTTTGACATTATACATAACGTAATCGTATAAAACGTTTCGATTGAAAATGTTAGTGATTCATTCACAGAACTGAAATCGTTAAAAATATTCTCGTTATGTTGTTTGAAAGAAAATTGATCGTAATTATATCTGTAACATATGTATGTATGTACTTGTTGATTTATTTAGTAAGCGTCTTCTATCATAGGATTATTTTTTTCATTTTTGTTTCCAAACATTGAAACACAACGAAAAATTTCTTCCCTGTTCAATAATAGCACATAATCTATAAATAAATAATTAATATACTGATATAATAGGTGTCTATAAGAATAAATTTAAACAATAATCATTAACCATTATAATCTATGTCGACTTCAACCAGTAGTGTGCATATAACGATATTATAAATTATTATCTGATCGTTGACGTAGCTGTGTCATTTTTTAGTAATTGGTATAATTATAAAGTTAATGATAATTATTAAACAAACGAAAACTTCGCACAATTGAGTCAAGGAACTAATGTTAGACATAATGTAGATATTAATAATAATAATAATATGGTAACAGAAGTTACATTTATGTGTGATAGATATTTTTACGTTCCACAATGTTTTGTTTTATTTCGACACTTCATTGTAAGTTAAAGATCAAAGCTTTTTGATGATTTTGTAAATTTATTCGACCAATTTCATGTTTTATTTTGATTTTTATATTTATATGATTTGTTTTGTAGGTTTGCAATCAAAATTTATAAAAAAAAATAATTAAAAAAATGGTCCATTAAATTCTATCAAGTAATGTTAAGGTAATATTAGACGCAGCAATTGTATACTTAAAATGTGTGCTTACAATGTATTACTGAAAGGAGTACCTTACATGCCAAAACATTTCTAACTTTGATGCTAATTAGCATGGCTTTAAATGGAAAAATGGGACTGAAGTTTCAATGTCATTTCTATCGTTTTGTTCTTTTACCATTGGACGTTGTAAATACATTGTTAATAAGTTACATAAGGCCACATATGTTTTAGATTTTCTCTATAGATATATGTATATTACTACACCGTTGCCGTGTGTTCCGAACCATTCTAGTCTTAGAAGATTTTGGGCAGGTTTACACCTTTCTCATTCAGAGTCGTCAACCTGAGTGTTAGCTTGTGCGTTGTTTCGATAAAAATCGTGGCCTTTTGTAATTGATACCTGATTTTTTTTTATTTTTTCAATTGATACCAAAAATATTCAACTTATTAGGACACTGTTACCGATGGATCTCTCTAGAACTAAACAGTTACAGATTCTTGGCATACCAAATACTGGTAACATACGCGTTACCAACTTTGATTGGTCTAAAATGTAC